ATCCTTTTAGCATAAATGGTTTGAAGCAGTCAGTCATGTTGCCGAGTTACAGGTCTCTTGCCAAGTTGTGACCAAGCAGTGTCCTCTCTACGGTTTTCCTTCATCCACTCACATATCCATCAGTTACTCCTTCGGCTCTGCCATGTTTCTGTCATTTCAAGTCGAAAGCGTATATCAGCATCGGTTAATGTACAGCGTGTCTGCTTACATCACATCTTGCACATGCCTCGCTGGCCATTTTCTAATGAGAGAAATTAGTCTCCTGCACATAAACAGTGATTTTTGGCCCAGTGTATCAGATAGCACCAATATAATAGCATAAACACTTGTTAGGTGTTCGTATCTGGATATTCTTGGCCTGACGTAAATTTGTTTATTCCAGCTTGCGAACCCCTTTGGTGCACCCAATATAGACGCAATGGCAGCGTTTGGATTCCCAGGAGCTGGTATGAATCCCCAGGTGAGAGGTTTTCTGAAATGGCAGTGAACAAAGCTGATGTTGAATGTTTTGAACTGACAGTCTTTATCCTCCCGTTTCCACACAGGCTGCTGATCAGCTGTTGAAATTGATGACGGATCCAAAGTAAGTCTCTTTAAAGATTCTTCTTTGAATGCTGTGCATTAGGGGTTTTTTGTTTGTTTGTTATTTTTCCCAGGCACCGTAAAACAACTGAGGCACAGGAAAGAAGCAGTTGTTTGGTGTTTTGTAGTAATGAGTCAACTAATTAATATTTATTTGTTTAGACTGAATCCCCTGGCGGCTGGAATAAACCTGAATGCTGGGCTGAAGGCTGACGCAGCTAATAAAGAAATCGAAGAGGCAATGAAGAGAGTCAGAGAGGCCCAGTCGCTCATTTCTGCTGCTATCGAACCCGGACGTGAGTGCATTAAAGTTCAGAAGATCTTGTTGCTAGGATGTTGGCTTTGCGATATAAAACAGTGTCTGGATTGTCTGCACTGCTGTCATTACAAACACTTATTAGGTCAGCTTACTTCCCCAGATGATTTCCTTGGCAGGTTTTCATGTTTGCAAATAGTTTGTTTTTGCTTTTGTTTTCAATGTTAAGAAAAAACGTTTGTTAACCCTTTAAAACCGGACGGAGCAGGCACGCTCCGTTTTGCGTAACTATTTTTAAATCCCTGTAGAACCGGAACCACGTAAGCTAGTACAAATTTTTTTTGCACATGAAACTGGAGGAGTTGTACTTACATCTTATGCCATCAGCTCGTCCTAGGTCACGGTTTCCTTCCACATATAGCTTTGCAAAAAACAGCATAAAAAGCACTTGCAGCAACAAAAACGTAATATTCCAGTAACACACTTTGCCAATTCAGCTGTTCATAACACTTCCTACATTGGAATAGACGGCAGCGCGAACTATTGTATGTCCGCCATTACCTGGCCGAAACCGGAAGTGGCGTCATTTTTTTTTTTACCATTTCCTCTTTTTTGTTTTTACCTTCGGGGCCTTAAAAGCCTATACTGGTGTTTTTAAAAGTCATGTTTGACTTCATGCCTTTCTGAATAGTTTCTGGGATGCTTAGAACTCAAATTGCACTGCTGGAAATAGTTTATTTTGATGCACGTGCTGTTTTCTTTGCAAATTTGCATTATAATATTTATTTTTGTTTTTCCAGCAGTATATAAAAATTGGTGTATCTCAAAAATAAAACTATGAAGACACTCCTGTTGTTAGTAACTATTTTGTGCAACTTTTTTTGTATTTACAGTTTTGAGGAATAAGCCTCTTAAATTTCTCTAACTAGAAATATATGTAAAAAAAACAACAACAAACAACAACAATTTTCATTTTTTTTGTAGTTTATTGCACTTTTTTGCAATTTATGTAGTTATTATAGACTTAATGCATACCTATTATTAAAATTTGGGCTATAATGGTTGTATTGATGTATAGCAACTTGAAATGCTCTCAAAAATGGCTCTGCAGCATGTAAAAATATAAAGATAACTCTGGCGGACTTGGTTCTATGGTAGGTCTTAAAGGGTTAAACACAGAGTACTGGAACTTGACCTGTATTTCGTTTTTCTGACGTGCAGATAAGGAGACAAAGAAGAAGCGCTCTCGGTCCAGGTCCAGATCCAGAAGGAGGAGGTCCCGATCGCGTTCAAGACACAGGTGATCTAGTAAAACTTATCATCTGCAGAGCTGAGATGAGGAAACTTTGTATTGTTTGTTTTCACATGAACAGCAAAGTTAAATGTTGTGAATGAATGGTTTCAGGCGAACCAGAAGCAGGTCGAGGCGCAGATCCAGATCGAGAAGCAGAAGACGCTCCAAAAGCCCACACAAGAGACACACCCACTCTAGAGACAGAGGGAGGAGATCTCGCAGCAGATCCAGGTGTGTTAACTGTGTGAAAACCTGACCTCGAACCTGTACTCTGAGGTCTGCAGCTGGGAAACCTGAGATCTAAATCTATATGCATGTTTTCTTTTTATCTACAGAGAGCGAAAGAAAGAAGATGCAGGGAGAAGGAAATCCAAAACACCACCCAAAAGCTACAGCACAGCGAGGAGGTCACGCAGTGTGAGCCGGTGAGTACAGCCAAGGTCTTCAGCTGACAAGTGCTTGAATTCTATTCTGGTAAAGACCTTTTAATATTAAGATAATTTAATGACTGTTCTATGGTCAGATTTACCAAAGTACAAAATCAACAGGAACAGAGAATAGTTAATGTACGTTTTTAAGTATAGTACTTCCCTAATCACGATAAAGCTGCTAATGCTTTGACAGGAAATAAGATTTAATGCATATGACAGTTATTAATGAAATGCTAGATTTTTGGTTTTCAGTCACATGTATTTATTTCAGCTGCTTCTAATATCCTGCGTATGTGCAAAACTTAAATTATTTTGTTCTGTTTGCAGGAGACGCAGGAAAAGTCGCAGCGCCAGCCGTTCTCCTAAGAAGTCTCCTAAAAGGAAAAATTCCCCGTCTCCATCTCCTCGAAGGTTGTCTGTGTTTAATACCTTCTGGCTGCACTGAATGTGTATTTTAAGTTTCTCCTGAATGATTTTTTTTTTTTAAAAGGAGAAGTAAACATATATCCATTACTAATCTTATTCTGGACTTTTTACTTTCCATCCTGTTCAGACACAAAAAAGAGAAGAAGAGGGAGAAGGAAAGGGACCGGGACCGTAGGAGCGATAAAGAGCGCAGCCGTGAAGAACGGGAGCGCTCCAGCAGCAAGAAAAAGAAGAGTAAAGACAAAGAAAGGGAACGTGACCGGAAATCAGACGCAGAGAAAGATGTTAAGGTTGGTGTGTTGTGGTTTTAGACCCTGTGAGCATCACTCTTCTAATGTTAGCCAGTCGGAGGGAGTTTGTGCTTTTTTTTTTTTTCGAGGTGTCTCATGCATCGGCTTCCTTTCCCAGATCACCAGAGACTACGATGAGGAAGAGCAAGGATACGACAGCGAGAAGGAGCGAGGCGACAGGAAGGACTCGGACGATTCCGCTTTGTCTCCTCGGTCAGTAGAAGGTAATGGCACAGCACGTTCCGCGAAGCAGGCCAAAGTTAACGGTGCCGATGATCGCCACGAAGAGGACATGGACGTCAGCGACTGACTCGTCTGTCCCGTCCTTTCCCACATTCTCCCTCCATGTTGTTTGTGAAAAAGCTACATCTTTCCCCCTTCCTACTGGGCTGAATCTGAAAATGTGAATTGTTTGAAATGTATCAGTTTCTGTCACAGGAGGGAAGCGTGCCCTTTTGCAAATGTTTGATGCTAAAAATCGTCTGCCCTGACATTTTTCTCGGTTTGTCACATTTACTGTAAGTGGTCTTTCTGCTCTTTGCTACTACAGATGTAATAGATTACAACTGGAAGTAGGCTTGCTTTGTGTTTCCTTAGCTTGTGTTACCAGATTTCTTTCTTTTTTATTTGTCTTTACATATGAACCTTTTTCATTTCTGTTGTGTGGGGTGGTGTGATGCACGGGTCTCTTGTCTTCACCAAAAATGCAAAGATACTGCGTTTAGCTTCTTGTTATCTGAGAGTACTGATTGTTTTATCAAGGATTTCTTTTATATATTAAAGCTTATTTAAAGAGCTAAGACTGTGAAAATTTGTAACTTCCACCTCAGGTTGGGGGGGGGGGCTAATGATACAGATATGAAAATCTTCACATCTGGTTTAAAAACACTTAAATCACAGACATGTCTACAGGTTCAGCTGTTTGATCACAGAGACAATTTTGCCTTCAAATTGGTCAAACTACTCAAAGGCAGATGTGCCTAAATTGGTAATGCTAACCTTTGGCATCACGTAGGTCCAGTGCAGCAATACTACATACACAAGTCTTTATTGGCATAAAACTAATGCTGATGGAGGATTTCTAAACATAAATTTTCCAGTTCAGTTAGATCATTTTACATGTGGGCCACATGTGGGCTGGATCAACAGGGAAAGCGGTAAAACCGATGAGAAGACAGGTAAAAGTTGAAAATCTAAGCACACCTTCGCATTTTCTTAAGCTCGGCCAGATTGGAGTCTTTGCTGGGCTAATTCTGGTCTCTGGGACTTGTCTAAAACCCTAACTTGGACTAATCTGGCATAGGTTTCTAGACATTTTTAGGATGTTGAATATATTAAATCTCTTTCATATTAAAGTGAAAAGAAGCCTAGGCTCTGAGAAATTAAATATTTTTCAGATAAAATTACCAGTTTTATTTTCCAATGTCTGCACTAAACACTGAAGCCAAACGGACAGTGCTCTGCTAGTTTATTGAAACGTACGCGTCTTCACACACTGACAATAAATCAGGGGAAATTTTATAATCTTTAGTATCTTGGGATAAAACGAGCTCTCCCTCCTTAGCCTCACCTCTTTAATAAACAGACTACAATATTGTCTTGAAGCGTTGCCAGATTTGACCTAAAATACCCACTGAAGCGATAAGAAACCCCAGTATATCAAAATATTTGTCCACCCCTCTGGAAGCCTCATAAAATTTTTATTACAAACACGCAGTCAGTTGAAAGATGATGCTGGTGCTTTATTTAAAGGGAAGTGAAGTAGGTATGGTTGCAGTACATATTAGCTGAAGCCAGACAGCTCAATGGATCAGATAATGTCTTATCTGGACAGTTGAGAGATCCAGCAACGATCAACTTCACAGCTTAGTTCCCTCTACTTGCATTTATATATGTATACATATAGATATATATATAAAAAGATAATCATATGCAGACAACAATCAAGGAGAATTTATAAGCACTAAAACGTTTTCTAAGAGTCAGTGTTCTAATTTCCAGTTTCTCCTTAAGTACCAGCCAGCCTGCAGGTAGTAGAACAGAGAATATACCTTTAAAGATGCATGTGATCCAGGAGGCCAACACAGCCAGAGCATGCCTTAAATATACTTCTTATCAGTGCAGTGTTAAACTAAGAACAGTTTACCTGATATCTCACCTGGGTTCTCCCATTCACAAACGTACATACAACAACCCCTGGTACAGTACAGTTACTCACTCACACACTGAGCACATACGATCACGACAGACATGGAGAGACAGCCGAGAGGTAACATGAGCTAACCTGAAGATGCAGGAGACTGCGTCCCTGCGCAGGGGAAAAGGCTCGGATATCGTACTGTAACAATGGAGGTCTTCTTTAATGCTAAACCTTATCCCAGCTGGTTAAAAACATTCTTAAGTACCGGAAATGTATTGCTACACAGTGTTACTCATTTGAGTTCATCTCTCTCTATATATTATACATAATATATAAATGAATATTAAGCACAGTTTGAGGATATAGCTATATCTGCTATTCTTTTTGTTGTGAAGTACAGACGTGAATTATTTACAGACGAGGGCGTCAGTGCACTTTCAAGAATGAGAAGTAATTTCTCTGTCCTTGAAGATGAGGGGAAATATTTAAATAGTGACGATGAAGTCTGACAGCTTTCAGAGTAGAGAACAGCAGCATGGAGCAGTGGGTTTAACTGCTCTGTTGAACAGCGAGTACAATGAAAGCTATCATCGATTTCACAAAAACAGCTCCCGAAGCATCTACATGTGAGGTGGCGCTCTAACACCTGCTTGCATTGATTTGCTTTGGATCCATCAGCCAACAGAGCAACTGATCACTAAGACCGGCCCCCACCCGCCCCTTCCTTTTCACAGCTAATAAATACAGAATAAAACAACACAATATTCCTCTTTTTTTTGTCTGCACTCCCAAACTTGCTGGCCATATCCCCGTTTACAGATCAGAGGTCTGGGAAACGACTGGGATCTTCTTTGTAATCGGCGGGGATGAAGAAAATGGACTCTTCGAATTCGTCGTAACGGAATTCCTGAAAGGTGACGGTCGCTGTGATCGTGGGGAAGACGGGGATGTCTGTGAGGCAGGAAACACACACGCAAAAGAAGGTTATTGGTGATCCTGCTCCTGAAACTCATCTACTCACAGGAATGCAATGACAGGTCGCTTCACATACCGAGTTTGACAGGAAAACCAGGCGGAAGTTTCATCTGGACAAACTCTCTGAGTTTGTTGAAGTGCTTGAACGGAGCTATGACCTCCAACACATTCAGTAATCTGGAAGCAGAAGAGAGTAAATCAGAACCTCACAAATTCTTACAAAAATAAATAAAAAATTAAAACAGATTCAATGCAATTCGAGATTTTGACTGAATTGCAAATCTTGGTAGAGGTTCAGCCACTTTCTCCACTCGACCTTCAGCACACACACACACACACACACACACACACACACAGAGTTTCAAGTCATTCTAAGTGGTGATCCTCTGAAATTATTATTCATAAAAGACAGATTCACATTTGATCACGATGTCATATGAAAGGCAGATTTTGCCTGGTTTGCTGTAATAACTTCGCCTGCTGATACAAGATTTCTTCGTCATTTCAAAGTTGCAGTCTTTGCGTTGCCCTCCTAAGCGGCATTCTAAGGAAAGGACATTTCCCCTTTAAAAGAAATATTCACTTGCATTGTCTGAATGAAACTATTCCAGCATCAGCATTAGCTCTAAATGACCCTTTGATTACATCTGAGCTGAAACTAGATCACTTAAATAAGTTTAAAAACAACAAAGTGATAGCCAGTATGAACAATAAAGGTAATCCTTTATTGACTTTGTACTTCAGGTTAACAATTTCCATATATTATATAGTTTGATATAACACATAAATAACAAGAGGATAGTTGATACCGGCTATCTGCCGATATGTCGTGATCGGCATTTAAAAAGTAAAGGGAGGGCGGGAGAAATAACCTTTAAGCATGCTATGAGTGTTGATGTTTCATAGTTTCTCCACTAGAGGGCACTCTGCAACTTCCCTGTTGGCAAGACGAGAAATCCACGACTAGGGATGGGTATCGTTTAGGCTTTATCCGAAACGGTGCCGGTGCTTAAACGGTGCTCAAACCGGTGCTTAAAGAATGGAGAACACAAAATTGGTCCAAAAACCTCTCATGTTCAGCTGTTTTTTTTTAAAAAAAGATAACAATGTTAGCCTTTTCTGCAGCTAT